GCGGATGTCAGTTCGCCGCAGTTCCGGCAAACACCACGGGTCACGGAAGAAGTTGCGAACAGAACGAGGCTCTCTCGACTTTCTAGCGGAGATAGAGACCTCTTAAGGCGGGTCCACACTCGTGAACGGCTAATGGGGGTTCCTAGATTGCTCGTAGAGCCCGTGCACGAGACACGGATGGAATAGGAGCGAACTGATGCGACACAATGCGCCATCGTGCTCGACTCGTACCAGCGGTCATTTTCTTTTCATTCAATTCCTCCGTAGAAGTCGCGAGATTTGGCAATTTTCGTGAACTCTTTATATCTACATCCCACGTAAACATTGTTCGAACAATATTTAAAATTTTTCATTGAAAACTTAACACTAGATTTACGGGCATTGATCGCATATTTATTGATACCTTTCATGTTGACGATTACCTTACAATACGATTTTTTTTTTTAATTGGAATATGTATTCGTGCCATTGCATCGATCAAATTCAACGTAAGTTGTTGAAAAAGTAATATTTACGCGTTCTGCGATTTTAAATATGGAATCAAACTTCCGTAAATCTAGCGTTAACAATGCATTCTTAAATATATAATTTTTCGAAGTTGTCGCCGAGGGATTAATTTTTTATTCGGAGTATACATTTATAGATCCACGTTGCAGCAAACTTTTTTTAGTTTATTGTTTCTTCACCATGATTTCGTTAAATGTTTACGTTGTTCCTCGTGAAACTTTCAATGTTTGTCATCTTTGTAACCTACGCGACTGACCCACCTCAAAAGAAACAGTTTTCTATCCATCTGGAGCTAAAGACCGAAGTTAAAGATCGCCGTAATTTTTTACTGGTGCATTTCCGGGCACGGGTTCCTATACTCAAAATACTTCCCTATGGGGCCTCTGCTTACCCTATGATTTTTGCCAAAGTTATCGTTTACACCCTGTATATGGTGGCTCGTTTCGTCCCATCGGCGCGGTTTCACGGTCGTCGCGGCGAATTTCGTGGCCGGGGTAATCTCGTCTTCCCTCGCGATAACATAAATTGCGGAGCGCCGTCCGCGTTTTTCCTTTTCAACGGACGATAAATTCCACGCGACTCGGGCTATTGTGCAACCGGCGGCCACTTTTGCGACGCTGTCCTTTTCGCGCCGAACGGCCATATCGTCGTCGGGACAAAAAAAATCCCCCCGAGTCGGCAATAATCGTGCCGATCTCGGGCCTAATTGCAGAGAGGAGTGTCGATCGCGGCATTAAAATCGGGACGAGTTTACTCCGCGGTTTCGACGACCGATTGCGAAAACGAATTGCAACGATAACAATAATGGCTCGACCGTGTCGCGAGGGAACCGTCGACGACTTGCAAGGAATCACGAAAATGTTTAAACATTGTTAACATTGAATTTTGATACCGGTTCGTTGATTCTGTGCTTCTGCTTGGATTGTTCCTTTGCGAAGAGAGCATCGTTTTGAGCAAATAATAATAAATCTTTTCGTAAATTATTATTTCCTCTGGCATATTGAAAATAGAGAAATAACGAAATAGCTGTTACTTTTATTTTCGAATAATGGCGCTGGAAATAGAGGTCGAATTACTTTTGTATGGAATTCAACCAGGTCTATTAATTGCAAAAGAAATTCTTTGACTTTTATTACACGCTAAAACGATTTTATATAATTAAAATCGCCTGCTGTGTAGTGAAATTTTCACAAAACTTTACCGATAGCCAATGTATTAATAAAACAAGGACTTTGAGAGCTTGGCTCGTAATATTGACGATGTTCAACAAAGAATAAGGCAACGTTTCTCACACTTCTTTTTAGTCCAGGAATATTTCACATTTGTCTGCGACTATTCAGAATTTTTAACGAATATTTCTCGAAATTGGAATAAAAATAAAGATACAGAGTGCTCGGCCACCACCGGGAAAAATTTTACAGAGAGATTCTAGAGGCCAAAATAAGACGAAAATCAAGAATACCAATTTGTTGATCGAGGCTTCGTTAAAAAGTTATTAACAATTAAATTCGAAAATTTCAAATCGACTTGGAAAAATTATTTTCGGTTCCGGGGGTCATTACAATCACTTTTGTCATTAGACATACCCTAGAAATCCTACCCAATTTCTAGAAAAAAATTCGAGAAAGTGTGAAATATTTCGACAAAACTAAAAAATTTTCAACCGTTCTGGAAAAATTATTTTCAGTTGCCGGGGTCAATTATAATCACTTTTTGTCATTAAATATATCCTAGAAATCCTATCCACTTTCGAGAAAAAAATTCGAGAAGGTATGAAATTTTCGACAAAATTAAAAAATTTCAAATCGTCCTGGAAAAATTATTTTCGGTTCTGGGGGGCAATTAGAGTCACTTTTTGTCATTAGACATACCCTAGAAATCCTATCCACTTTCGAGAAAAAAATTCGAGAAGGTATGAAATTTTCGACAAAATTAAAAAACTTCCAATCGTTTTGAAAAAATTATTTTCTGTTGCGAAGGTCAATTACAATCACTTTTTATCATTAGACATACCCTAGAAATCCTATCCACTTTCGAGAAAAAAATTCGAGAAGGTATGAAATTTTCGACAAAATTAAAAAACTTCCAATCGTTTTGAAAAAATTATTTTCTGTTGCGAAGGTCAATTACAATCACTTTTTATCATTAGACATACCCTAGAAATCCTATCCACTTTCGAGAAAAAAATTCGAGAAGGTATGAAATTTTCGACAAAATTAAAAAATTTCCAATCGTTTTAAAAAAATTATCTTCAATCGTGGGGGTCATTTACAATCATTTTTGGTGAATGGACATATCCCCGAAATACTGCGCATTTTCGAGAAAAAAATTCAAAACCACCGAAACTTTAAACGTTAATAACTTTTTAACAAAGCCTCTAGAATCCCCCATTAAAATTTTTCCCAGACGAACACCCTGCATATACGAATCGTAGACTCGATAAAATTGAATCTGTATTCTGCGTAAGAAGAATGATATAAATTATAATTTAAAAAAAAAAAAGTAAATTTTACTACATTCTTAGTTTTTTTTTGTAAATACCACTCTATTCGTCGCTGCTTTTCCATAAATGTAATTATAATACATTCTATGCAAAGCGGACTATTTGATTACTAGACCATAACAGTATACTCGATTCTCTTTTTACATGGTTTCGATTTAATTCGTTTCAGGAAAGGAGCGCCAATTCTATTTTCTTCGAACATTTCGAGAACAATGTTTAAATATTGCAAGATGTAAAACTCTGTATTCACAAAAAATTGTATTCTCATAAAAATTTTCATAAAAAAACTCATTACTAAATATGGTAAGGTTATCAATTAAGGTTCTCAATCTAATTATTAATTTTGTTAGTATAGTTTAGGAGAAACGCTAGACCAGGGAATCCGAAAATTGGACACATCGCGAGTACAGTCAGCTGCTAACATAGGGACATCGTTGACAACGAGGTTATGTATTCTTGTGTTCCTTTATAATTATAATAATGCTACCCTCCAACGGGACGCGGTTTCGTAACGACAACGATGACAACGGTAATTGTGCCAACATCGAATCCGTTCCTTTTTCGTATACCTCCGAAACAATGGACAATGGTTCGCCGTATTTTTATACGCCCGGTCAAAACGGTGAAACCTCTTTCTCGTTCCGCCTGCCGCGAAAATGTAACCCCCCTTTTATGGGAAAATAATGGCCGTAGGAACGGAGTCTGTCAACAAGGAGCGCGTTTCCATTGATTGCATCCCGAGGCAGCGAAACAGTTCGTCCCTAAAAAAGTACTAACCGTTCAGGATACCTAGAACCCGCTGCACCGGCCGGACTGCACCTTGTTTTCTTTCGTCATGTGCAACGAGGAATACAGAACCGTGCCGCGAACGTGACACAACACAACAAATTTAAAGGGACAACAAAAATCGCGGGAGCTAGCAACCATTTCGAACGCATCTGCTCGCTGCTCGGTGCTTGGAAATTAAATCGCCTCGAATAAGGTTCGCTTGCGAGACAACAAGCCCGCTGAACGTCGCCCTTTCATCGACGCTTAAACCCTTTCTTGTATAGCGTTGTACACGTACAGTTAAGCTCAAAAGTATTCGTACACCGACAACATTTGACTTAGCAGGCGACGTACTGTGAATAATTGCACCGGTTATTGCGAAAGTCGCTTGAGTCATACATTTCCCCTATCGGAATATTTAAACGTTCGCATTTTACTATATTGAAAAATAGGTATATTCCTAGCAAACGTACCGTTCGATTTAGTACATTATTAATATGCATTTCATGCAACTCGGAAAGTTGCAATGAAAAAGTAAGGTTAAGTATATTTTGATAGGTTCGTACAGCCAGTCGACCATTATTTGTCCTATAAAATGAGACCATTGCAAAACCGTATTTTTATTTAATTTTAGTTATATAATGATACGACATTCCTCATAATTGTATGTTAATTTTAAGATATCTGTAGCTGAGTTAGGTTTGGGTTAGGTTAGGAGCCTCGGGGGGGGAGGGATAATATTTTTTGTACTGTTGTTGCACATACTGTCTACCTGACCTAGTCTTGTATAGTATGTGCATGAAAAAATGACTTTTATGCATACATGTTTAACAAATTAGCATTTGACTATCTGGCATTTATAATTTACACCATGAACGACAGTCGTTTGTTCGAACCTGTCAAAATATACTTAACCTTACTTTTTCATTGCAACTTTACGACAAAGTTTAAACAAAAATGGCGAATTTCCGCAAATAATGAAATTGATATTAATAATGTGCTGAATTAGACGAATCGAATGGCGTATAATTCATCCCGATCGGTGAACGGTCCGTTTGCTAGGAATGTTCCTCATTAAATTTTATGAATGTACAGAAGTGTGCAGTTTGAACAGTCTAATAACTTATGCTACTTTCAAAATTAATAGTGTATCCTGCTTGATGATGTGAGAACACAATAATCTAATAATTCTTTCATAATATTGTGTGATTGTAATAAATACCTGTGAGGGGCAATTTCTTTAGCAAATACCTGTGGATCTGATTCCACACAATGTTTGTGACTCACCTGAAACAAAAAGAAAGAATCAGATTAGTGACAAAGAAACAACAGTAATTGCAGCTGTGATTGAATCAGATTCTTCATAAAGCCATAAACTTTGTGCACAATTAAGTTTGTACAATTAAATAAATGTCTTTTCAAGAACCTATAAACGAGTGTCTTGTCTTTTAATTTTCAACCCAGAAGAAATGAGAATATTGAAGGGATTTCAATGATTTCTTTTGAAAGATTGTGGACCATCGAATGCCTGCAAATCATAACTTGAGGAAGTGATATAATTCATAAGCAAAGGAGGTAGATAATTGACCAAAATTAAAAGATTAAATGTGGTTTCTAAATCTCAGGTTTCTTATTCCTGGTCCTTTTCCATTTTTGCATTTTCTATGTTCTTTTCAGGAACTTGTATTTTGTTTTAGTATTGTACAATGAATAAAGTCAGAGATTGATATTCTGTCTCTTCTGTTTTATTTACTAAGTCCTTACCTCAAATACTCCCATTCATTTATTTAATTTGTTCTTTCCTAATTTATTTCCACATACTGTGAATAATTCAAACACTAGGTTTCGTATAAATCTTCATATACTGTTCCAAAACTATCAAATTGTAAGCATTCTCTTGTTACGTGCCCATCTACTATTTTAATTCTATCCAGGCCAACATATAGACCATGACTAAATATGATCATTGGTGAAATTGAAGTACCGGATCAACAGTTTGCTAATTAACTTACATTTGAAATTACATAGGTTCTGATTTAGAGATAATACTGATGCAAATCCCATAGAAAATTTATGATTACTGTGGTTATACTGGCAAAAATTACCTTCAGAACAAAGGTGAAATTTATGGAAAAGTTAATTAAAACACGACGCGAAGATATACAGGCATATTATGTTAAGTAGATTACTAGAATGTACGTTTACAAAAGAATTAACTATTTTATCGAAAAAATATAATTATCTTACATTGTTCGCATAAATTTGGCCACGTTTGTATGTTCTTTAATATCCTAACCCTTTCAAACATGCAGTTCATTGTTTTATTCTTTCCCATTTCCCGTAACGTAGTGTATTCGTCTTCTTCTCAAACCGTGCAGCATTTTATCTCCCATCATACGTTTTTAAGTTAGATAAGTCCAAGGTTAGGTTGCAGAACGGCCATTTGTTGAACCTCGTTCATCTTGTATTCACTAGTACCATGTACAGTCATATTTACAAGTCTTGAGTTCGTATATATTTTATGTTTTCTTTCTTATCATACCAAATATAGTTAAATAAATAAATAAAAATTAAAAAATTACGGAAAAGTTAATACTAAGTGAATCGTTTATTGTAAAATCTTCGAATGATAGAATACTTATTCTTCCAAGGTTTATTGTACGTTCAGGACGCTCTGAGGCCCGTGTAAGTTAATTACAGCGATTTGCTTTCTTGTCGGTACGCAAACAACGATCGCTTTTACCTTTCGTCGCGACGCTACGAAGCCACGGTGCAAGCGAACATGGAGCAATTAAAGGGAGAACAAAAATCGTGATTACCCTGCTCGAAAACACCCGATTCGTTTCCTTTGATCGCGTTCACGGAGCTGGTGCCACCGGGCGAGCGATTTCGCTTTTGGGTTACGGCCGTTCGGCCTGACCGACGCAACTTTAAATTTAAACGGTGGTTGGATCGCTCAAACGGCTCAGGGATTCGACCAGCGACGAGCTTTCCCAGGGCATTTTCCCCTCGAACGGGCGGACCCCTTTGTCGAGACTCCCAGACACGGAAGAAAATCGCGTCTCTGAAATTCGCGAAGATTCACGCAGATTTAAACGTCCTGGCGATTCGAACGACACCGGTGGACTTTAAATCCACTTGGTAAACAGCCTTCGAGCGGTTTCTCGCCGGCTCGCATAAATATGCTTTTTTTTAAACGCCGATTATGTGAAGATAAACGATACCGATTGAGTGAACGACAATCATCGACGTGATTACTTGAATGTCATCGGTGGTACCAGATGGTCGGTTATTGCGAGATAAGGGACCGCGTCCTCGATAACGACTTGTATCTGTGTTTTTTTGCTTTTCGATCTATAAGGAAGGAAAGTATCTTTTTCATTCTTTTTAATAACGTTTGAAATCGCATCGACTACAAAGGTCAAGTTACATGAAAAACAGTAGATGAAAGATTGCACATAACACATTACAGTATTTAAACACTTATCGGTATCGCGGGTTATTTTTATATCCCAGCGATTAAATTTTTTTTTTAAATAAAGTACTTATAATTAACATTTAGGCAAACATTTTTATTGTTTTTATTTTCTATTTTGAATGACTTCGTTAACTTCTTCACACCCTTGGCCACATATGTGGACGTTTAATTTTTTTTTTTTACTATCAATAATAAATATACCAAAAAAAAATTGTCCCTGAAGAGGTTAATGTGTAACTTATCGCATAAAATGAAAATAATTATAAAAAGAAATCGTTGCTTTTTATTTTTTTTAAATAATCTACAAGTTATTCTATTTCCATGCTTTAGTAAGATTAAATTACGTTTCCCTAGTACGAAGTTGATGTAAGCAGTTCAATAAGGTTATTCTTGATATTAAATATCCCTCTTTCTACGATGTATTTCAAGCATTCGATAAATATGTGGTTTATTATCAAACTGAAATTCCCGACGTCGCACAATAATAGGAGGGTATTGTTTGAGTATGTCGTAATCGTGTTCTCGTTATTACGATTTACTGCTTTCGAATTAAGTCCGTACTAATTTTCAAACCGATTTTTCCGGTGTATCAATTTTTTTCTCGCAAGTGCGTACGATTTCGAGGGTATGTGTATTGACCAAAAATGCTTGTAATTGACTCCTGTAACTAAATATAATTTTTCCAGGACGATTTGAAATTTTTTAATTTTGTCAAAAAATTTCACACCTTCTCGAATTTTTTTCTAGAAAATACGTAGGATTTCGAGGGTATGTCTGTTGACCAAAAATGCTTGTAATTGACTCCTGTAACTAAATATAATTTTTCCAGGACGATTTGAAATTTTTTAATTTTGTCAAAAAATTTCACACCTTCTCGAATTTTTTTCTAGAAAATACGTAGGATTTCGAGGGTATGTCTGTTGACCAAAAATGCTTGTAATTGACCTCTGCAACTAAATATAATTTTTTCAGAACGGTTTGAAATTTTTTAATTTTGTCGAAATATTTCACACTTTCTCGATTTTTTTTTTAGAAACTGGTTAGGATTTCGAGGGTATGTTTAATGACCAAAAATGCTTGCAATTGGCCCCTGTAACTAAATATAATTTTCCCAAAACGATTTGAAATTTTTTAATTTTGTCAAAAAATTTCACATCTTCTCGAATTTTTTTCTAGAAACTGGTTAGGATTTCGGGAGTATGTCTGTTGACCAAAAATGCTTGTAATTGACCCCTGTAACTAAATATAATTTTTCCAGAACGATTTGAAATTTGTTAATTTTGTCAAAAAATTTCACATGTTCTCGAATTTTTTTCTAGAAACTTGTTAGGAATTCGGGGGTATGTCTGTTGACCAAAAATGCTTGTAATTGCCCCCTCTAACTAAATATAATTTTTTGAATAGGATTTGAAATTTTTTAATTTCCTCTAAAAATTCCAATACCTTCTCGAATTTTTTTCTCGAAAATGGGTAAGATTCCAAGGGTATGTCTATCCACCAAAAATTATTGTAATTGACCCCTCTAACTAAATATAATTTTTCCAGAACGATTTGAAATTTGTTAATTTTGTCAAAAAATTTCACATCTTCTCGAATTTTTTTCTAGAAACTTGTTAGGAATTCGGGGGTATGTCTGTTGACCAAAAATGCTTGTAATTGACCCCTGTAATTGAATATAATTTTTCCAGAACGATTTGAAATTTTTGAATTTAATTGTTAATAACTTTTTAACGAAGGCTCAGTCAAGAAATTGATATCCGTGATTTTCGTCTTACTTTGGCCTCCAGAATCTCCCATTAAGATTTTCCCCAGGGGTACTCGAACACCCCTGTATAATAATTACTTTTTACGTCTGAAGTCCTTGTCACAGATAAAAGATTACAAATTTCCAAGTATGAAATTGTATTTGCAACAGTGCAAACGTTTCTAGATGTTGCAATGCTATTGCAATACCATTGAATGAATTGAGACCGCACTTAATGGTATTATTTTTAGCCGCGACAGCAGATTCTGTACCCGATCGACTGCTAGAATCGTTTATGAAAATATGAAACGAATTAAGCTACTTGCTGTTCCTTCCTACTCAATGGAAGATCATTTTTCTTTTCGATTAATTCAAAGTGATGGGAATTCCAGTGTCTGTGTCGATGCTTTATGAATTTTCAACTTCTCCATAGCGTTCGCTGACTAATACGAAACACATTGTTAACTTATGATTGAATTGAAGTCGATGCCCTTATAGCATACTCTAAACTCAGCGATTCTCCTCTGTGTGCCAATGACGGCTCGCCAGCTTCAATTAAGATACTGGAACTTGTATAAAGAGATCCATAGACTACCCTCGATCCTGCGCTACGAACTATAATACTTCAATCTCGTTTAAAGTTGTCGATTCAACCGAATCACATTCGACGATCGTTATATATCTTTACTTGTCGCTTTCGTTGCAAGTGGTTACCGTTGGCGGGGTTCTCGATTTTTTAATAAAATGGCTAACGGTACGCTAACCGTTTTCGTAATTCGCCACGCCGACGACGCAGGGAAACTTCAACGGGCGGATAATATTTTCTCACTGTCACGGCGATCAAATACTTAATGGCTATCTCATTATGCAGTTTATGGCCCACAGTGTATGTACATACGGGCACCGTGTGGGTTTTCGAGGGCGAACCGAAGTACCGAACGATCGAAAGACATCGGTGTCAGCCAACTACGTTTCGCTCATTACGATATTACATCCCACCAACGCGGGGCGAATTATCGCTTGCGCAATTGTTCGAATTGATGGCCAGTTTCTCCCAGCTCGCTT